CCCCCCCCGCTGCTATAATCCTAATGGGAATTTAAACTGTGATTAGTGTAATACCCGTTTAAACCCCACCAACACCCCAGAATACTCCCCCATCCCCCTCCACCCAAAACACAGATTAAGGGAATCCAAATGTCTCCATCACAGATTATCATCCACCTGTGTGAGAGTCACATGACCAGGGTTCAGTTTTATTTACTGAATGTCCTTCAATCTATTTCATTTTATAGTTGAGCCCCACCCCTCATCCCTCTCAGCCGATCACAGGGCATTTTGAAGTAAAACATTTAATGAGAATTAAAAATAAATTTCATTGAATTATAACATTGTTATTGTGGAAGTCAATATAAAGAAAATAAGTCAAATAAAAATCAATCAAAACAATTGTTTAAAAAATGTATGTAAAGTTTATTCATAAAGCATATTTAAAAACAACCAGAGTTTACTGAAGAGCTTAACATGCTGGTAAAAGCAAGATCTCCATCATGAGTCTGAAGGTTTGACGCCGGAGCCATAAATAAATGATCAGGACCGAAGATATTATTGACTAATAGAAAAAGAAATGTTTCCTTTGTGCACAAAATATCATCTTCAGATTCATGAGTTTGTTAGTGAATCAGAATCCTTCTAAAGTGAGTCTTTATCATCAACACCAAGATTGTTTAATCATGAAGTTCATGAGAAAGAGAATAGCAGAGTAGAAGGAACCAGGACCAGGACGAACTGATCCGATTAGAGACTCACAAATATGAGTGGGACACGGCCAATAAATGAGGGTGAAAACATCCAGATAGAACTTTGACCCAGACTCATTTATGTCATTATTGTGTTAATTCATAATGTTGATAATTCTGTCAGATGAAGATTAGGCTCCACTGATATTATATATAAGATTTAAGAGACTGAAGATTCAAGAGACAGAAGATTCAAGAGACATACGATTCAAGAGACAGAAGATTCAAGAGACAGACGATTGTATATCTTGTATATCTTGATCTATGCGCAAAACCCGTGCTCGATCACCGCTCGATATGGTTACTATAACTCTGGTACGTGAACTCCTACAACAACAAAAGGGGTTTTCACAGAGATTTTTCAACAACAAGAGAAGAGCTTCAAATGTTTTGTTGAAATGATACTGGATTCTACGAACAATCGTATGGACAACATGTTAGGATCTCAAAACGAGCATTCAATACACCCAGAAGGAAATGGATGACCTGAAATCAGCCAACGCAAATCAGCTGGCCACGTGCACTAGTAAGCAACAGGATACGATGAGGGAAAGCATCCAGGCCATCAACATGAAAATGAACTATTTAGAGGGCCAGTCCAGGAGAAATAACCTGGTTATTGATGGGATGGTAGAAACTGAAAACAAAGGATGGGCTGAGGTGGAGGATAAGGTACGGAGATTACTGTTGGAAAATCTACAGCTTGGGAGCAACCGTGAGTTGGAGCTGGAGCAAGCGCATCGAACGGGAAGGCCGGGTGCAGACGGCAACAGACCACGGCCCGGCCGGTAGTCGTCAAGTTCCTTCGATACAAGGACAAAGTAGCTGCTCTTCAGAATGCTAGATACCTAAAAATAACTAACATTTTTATCAATGAGGACTCTACAGAGGCTGTCCGCCAGAAGAGGAGGGATCTCATGCCAGCCATGAGGGCAGCGCGTGAGAGAGAGGGGACATTGCCTATCTCTGGCACGACAGACTGATTGCACATCCTCCTACAAGACAATAGAACAGGTCAAGAAGACTATACTACTGGGTGTAGTGTTGGACGAACAGTTGTCGTGATCTGAGCACATTGACGGCATTGTCACTAAAATGGGAAGGGGCATAGCTATGACTAGAAAGTGCTTTGCTTATTTAACACTCTATTGTTTGTCAGGTGTTACAGTCTTTATACTGTCCATTCATATGGTCTGCAGCAGCTAAGAAGGACTTAAATAAACTACTACTGGTTCAAAACCGAGCTGCCAGATTAGCACTCCAGTGTTCAATGAGAACTAATACACATACAGTATATGCACTCTCGCCTGTCATGGTTCTCAGTGGAAATTAAACTTCACTATAGCCTTCTCATGTTTTTCAGAAACGTAGTATTTAATCAGACACCTGAATATTTCTTCAATCAGTTACAATACACATGTAACAGACATAACCATCACACAAGGAATGCAGCTCAGGTCACTTGATACCACCAACCCCATGAACAAACCTCAAACGTAGTTATTTTTCGTGCAATTACTGCTTGGAACTTACTACCTCCTCATATAACTCATACAGGTAATAATCTGTCATTTAAAAAACAAGTAAAGGCTCACCTCAGGCCACTAACCACTTGACGTTTTCCATTGCTTTTGTAGTCTCCTGATCCTTCTTTGTATAAATGATGGATGCACTGTGTATATGGTCGGTTATGACAATATACATCCTAGTCTTTGACTGCACTATGTATCTGACTGTACTATTTTTATTTTTTATTAATTTTATTATTCTGATTGTACTATTTTTAACTGTTTGTTTCATGTCATGTTTTGCACGTTTTGTATGTATTAAATTTAGTCCTTTTTGTGGACCCCAGGAAGATTAGCAGCCGCTAAGACGTCAGCTAATGGGGATCCAGTTAATAAACTTCTCTGTGTATTCTGTGTACTCTGTCTACTCTTTTTACTGTTTGTACTGTCTGTACTCTGTGTATTCTGTGTACTCTTTTTACTGTTAGTACTCTGTGTACTGTTTGTACTGTTTGTACTCTGTGTACTTTTTGTACTCTGTCTACTCTTTGTACTGTTTGTACTCTGTGTACATATTATTACATTTATTTAGTGTAATAATAAGAGTGTGTCTGCGTGTGTGTGTCTGTGCGTGTGCATGTGAGTGTCTGTGTGTGTGTCTGTCTGCGTGTGTGTGCGTGTGTCTGTCTGCGTGTGTGTGTCTGTGTCTGTGTGTGTCTGTCTGCGTGTGTGTGTCTGTGTGTGCGTGTGTCTGTGTGTGTGTCTGTCTGCGTGTGTGTGTCTGCGTGTGTGTGTGTCTGTGTGTGTGTGTGTCTGTGTGTGTCTGCGTGTGTGTGTCTGTGTGTGTGTCTGTGTGTGTGTGTCTGTGTGTGT